TACTTACTAATGCAGCCACCTCTCTGCCACGTAAAAATGTGTGGAGTACACAGCTGTCTTGCAGCAAGATACCTTCATATTATTAAACTAAGAATCATTTTAATCGTTTAGCAGGGTGGGGAGGGAGAGTAAATCAGACTTTTAACCATGTTAGGTTTTTCTGCAGTTGCTTTGGGCTATTGCCTTTTAAAAATATCCAGACATAAAATATTTATATAAATATTATTTATTAGTGAGTTGTTATTCATCCTTTGGATGCAAAATGTAAATTAGGAAACTGTATTTTATTACTGCTTTTTTGTGGTTAAACACTTTATTTTAATATAAATATTTAGGGTTTTTTTTATTCTACTTGGTGTGCAGTAGGTCTAGATCTCCGTAAATTGTATTTTCTAATATGTAAGATACAAAGCAAACAAAATAGGTGCTTTTATTAAAAGAACAGCTAGCTGGAATGGCATTCTTTATTTCTTGAATTTGTGGAACATTGGTAAAAATTTGTCTGCATTCCATTGAGTTTCCTACATTCCAGTAGCATTTTTCCCCCCGCTAGACTAAATTGGCTAAAACTGAGAGCACACCCGTTTTATTTGTATATAGATGTTTAAGGAAGAAAAAAAAAATAAGGAAAGATGTAAACTTGAAAAATAAATGTGAACAAATATTTTTGATTGCTTATATTACTATGCACAAGACATTTAACTTTTGCCACAACAAAACGAATGATGTGCATTAGGATCAGGTGTCTTGAAATATAATTTTGCACTGTAACTTGATTTCTTTTAAAGACTACAGCACTACGGGACAAATAATAAAAAACAGCACAACAACGTTAGCGAGAAGATTTGCCAGGTAGCTAAAAAATTTTAATCGTTTTCTTCAATGATTCCTTCGAGAGGAGATGAAATTATTAAAATCGCCAAAGGCAGTCTCAAAGACCTGATCTTCCAGACAAAACCTGCTGGGTACAGTGCTTCTCCGTATAGTCTCCCATCATTTTCCCACTGAATTAAGCACAATGTTCTGTAGTGAATGCTTGCGGGATCAGACCTCTCATCCCACGTCAGCAATAGGAAATAAGGTTATTTTTCTCATTGCTACTTTAATTTTTTTGAAGAGGTTTTTAAAAGCATAACTTATTATTAAAACATCCCATGGTTTCCATCAAAAAGTTCCAGCACAGCGATTCTCGCGATACCTGGAACATCCCTTTTTCTTTCATCCGAGAAGCCGGTGATGTAACTTCAGCAAGCGGGGCAGGAAAGCTGCACGTGGTGAAAAGGGGAGCCGGTGGGGGTCCGCGGGCGCGGGAGCAGGTAGTTGGAAACGCAGAATGACAAAAAAGAGGCACCGGGTGGCGGGAGGACTAAATACGTAAGCAAGAGAACGCGGAGAGGACTATCGGATAATCCAAGGCTTCTTGGAAGGACGATGCAGGCGTGTCACTGCTGCGTATCCAGGCAAAGTGACACACCCCTTCACACAGCCACTGCGTTGAAAAACCACCAGTATTCCACTAGCAGATTTTTAATGGTTAATTCCGTATAGGAATGCGGACTGCGTGTTTTAACACCGCAAATTGCCGGTGCGCTGGTACGTATTGACAGCGTTAGGAGGAGGAAGGTGGGACTCGCAGGCAGCACCGTGTGCACGGAATAGCCAGTCACTTCAACCAAAGCGGAAGCGTTTATTTTGCAGAGGGAACATTTGAGTTAAACAGTGATTTGGATTGGCAGCTAGCATATTGTTTCCTATAAAATGTACTGTGCACTTTAACACTAAATTAAAAATGTATTTTAATATTTTACAGAGCTGCACAAATATCTGTTTTGTCAAAAAGCATGAGCAATGTAAAGAAAGTAAGTTTTCAAGTCAGAGTTTATCAGATTTTAAAAGCATTCGAAGATTTGAGTATAAAAATAGGAATATTGATTTCTGCATCTTGAGGGATAAAATGCAGGTTTCCTGAGTATTTTTTTACAATGTATATATGGCAACATGAAGCTTTGTAATTATTATTATTTTGACAAATCTTGTTTTTTCATAATTAAAATTTTGTTTTCCTCCTGATAGTGTCTTTCAGTATTTGCTTGAAGTTGGCTGTAAATAAATAGCTCTAAATATTTTGTAATACAGCTTTTTTTATGCAGTCTTAACCTGTATGGCTAAAAAAAGAATCTTCATGAACCTTTGTATACTATTTATATGTGCAATAAAACATGCATGGCGAATCTATAACACACTAAGCTAAGCAGTGAACACAATGTATATAGAAGAATCTTTACTGTAGTTTAAAATTAAACTATTTTATTTGTAGAAACCCTTTAACGACTACCCCTGTGACTGACAGTTTCTTGTAAAAGAGATGGTGGTTGGAGAGCTTAACACTGGGAACAATGGATGAGGATTTGGGGATGGAGACGAATACGATGTGACCCAAATAAAGGAATTCTGCAGCTAAACTAGGAATAGGATCTGGCTAGTAACTTGAGTAGTCAGGTCCTGCCACGAAACTTCCTGGAGCTGTGCTGCTCCAGGTCTCCTGCCAGTCACATAGTGAGCAGCAGCAGTGGAATTAACCACCCTGTGCCTCCAGGGCTGGGTGAGCCGGCAGGCTCAGATCAGGGACAAGGAAGACCCCACTGTCAGTTTGCTCCTGCAACATCCCCCTATGAGAGTCATTCGTTTTACTGCTTTACTTCCCACTTTGCTCTACAGTGCAGCTTTTTTTTCCCTCCCTGCCGTCCTTCTGAAATGCAGATTATTCTGCGGGGTTTCGCTTTAGCAAACAAAATTGGATGATTTCTTTATTCCAAGTGAATCCAAGCAATACTGCAGTAACCTTTTCTGACCTGGGGATAACCCAACGTAACAGGGCTGCAACAAGCTGCTTGATCCTTCTCCTGTCTCTGCAGAAACAGGTAGTAGTGCCTACTGCTTGTAAGGCATAGTATGGAGCCTTCTCCTTCTGAGGTCATCTAAGGACAGATTCTGCTCTCTTCTCATTTCTCTAATGAAGAGCCTTGACCTTAACCAGGTGATTTTATGGCTGTGTTTGTTCACTTTTGGTAGTGGATTTTGGAAGGGGAGGATCTTTCTGCAGTCATCTCCTGGGGAGATCCTGCTTCTGATTGCCAATGGAGCCGAGGGCCTTTGTGGCTGTTGTGATACAAAGCCAGGACAGACCCATTGCTGCCTTGGGATCAGTGTAATTTAGGCAGGAAGAGTCCTGCAGCGGTCCTCTGGTGCTGCTCCTCACCGAGAGCAGAGCCTGTTCCACAGCCCTGTCCAGCTGAGGTTCAAGCACTGCCAACAGCAGAGATCTGACGACCTCGCACAGATTCTCACAAGAGCCTATCAGCCACTTACCAGAATCTGTTCCCGCTCACAAATCAGGCAACTGGACTTGCCTCTCAAGGAGGAAGGCAGCAGTGTGTGTAAATTCTAGGTTTCACCAAGAGGTGCAGGAAGGCAGTCAATTATTAGGAGCACCAAGTGGAAAATATGACGGGTATTATCAGCTCCAGAACTGTAGCTGGGCAGTTATTTGGGGATGCTGATATGGTAACTGATCTCCTGCTAGACTGTAAATTAAGGATACAGGAAATAAAACTCCCCACAGCTATCCACAGCACAATGGGAAACTTAGGACTATGCCATATAAATTTATCAACTATGAAAGAGGGCTTTTCCCCCACCATGCAAGGCAAGATTTTTCCTACCATTAACCCAGCAGCTTGAAAAGGGCAGTTTAAAAGCACTTACAGTAAACTGCAGGGTTAAACCTGCTTTTTCATCTCTAACATAACATGCAGGTGCACACGCTCCTGTTAGGGAATTAAAAAAAAAAAGTATATACCCCTTTCCCTTAAACACAATTATCAGAACGCATTAGGGAAAAAAAACACTAGGTTTGCCAGATCACAAACAGAAATACACATCTTCTTTGGAAGCGCCTGCACCAAGCTGCACGCCCCGACTCCACGGCTGCTCTGTTCGTGGTGCTTGGCACGAGGCTGCAGCACAAGCACAGCGCGCTTTGGCTTCAGTCCAGCACTAGATGCAGCCCAGCAAGTCGCTTGCTGGCTACAGCAGAGCAGTCACCTGGTTGCTCAAGGAGGAGAAACAACCAGCAGCAGCTGCCACACATTAAACAAGCCTCTGAGCCAATTCTGCTGTTGTGCAAGCAGAAAAACCTGTGTTTAGCACTTGTGGCTTAAAATTTTTATGTCTGTGCCCTGTCTTTACATGAGAGGACGAATTCTGTGTCTGTGGTAAACCTATACAGTGTGGAAAACTTACATTCGGTTGCAACACACAGTCGTACCTTCCCAGCCTTCTCTGCTGACTTCAGAAATAGGCAGATGCAGATCGATAAAAGTGAACGCACAATTTAAGCCTGTCACCACCAACGGAAACGTAAGTTAAGTTCCCAGTTCCGATCTATCTCCTGGCAACCTCGAATGTAGCAGGGGCTGCAGCAACATGAGAGCATTAATTGCATTGCTTACAAAAGCCAACCACTCCTACCCTTGTATTTCCTCTGGCAAGAGTGAGTCCAGGTTTGAGCAACACTGCAGGTTCAGCTGAACTACAGGAACGCAGAGGTTCCAAGTGATCACTGGAACGCAAGATAAACACCTCACCGGAACAACCTGCGTTCTTGCCCCGCACACGGTAGCTGGCAGAATTACACCACCAAGAACTACTCTAGATCTACAACTGTCAGGCCTAAATTCTGCCACCTTCACTAAAATAAGCACACGTTTTCGGCAATGACATATCAGATCATCTACGGATAGATAATCATTTTTCGTATCTATTTCTCAGCTTCCTCTCTGTCAAGTCTAAGAAACCCATAAACACAGCGTAAGCCTTTCACACTCAGCAACAAACAAAGGCAAGTGGAGGACCTAGGACACAGCACGCACCTTCATGGTGTTAACAGAGTTTCTGAAGCATGCAAGAACCTTCAAAATACTTACTCCAAAGCACACACATCAAATTAAGTGGGACTTTTATTTTTCTCAGCAGTACAATCAGAAGAGCTCCATTTTACAGACACTACTTCAGCAAATGATTTTTCTTTAGTTCCGCCCTGTCCCTTGATTCCTATTGGACAGATGACACATCCAAACGGTTCAAGCATTGAGGTATTTTGCATGATGTTTGATGTGGTCATTAATAAATGTAGCAATGAAAAAATAGCTGTGATCGTAACCCTGGAAAAGAACAGCAACACAGAGATCAGCAAATAACACAGAGTTCATGATAAAGCAATCAGGCTAAGCTCTTCTCTGAGAAAGTTCATGACTCTTCTGTTTTTATCTATTTTAAGACATCAAAAATACCTGTATTACAAATAAAAACTTTAAAGGACACCTAACTAACAGGTGAAGTATATATGAACACTAGAAAGCTAAACAAACAGGAAGTACCTTAACCTGCCCTAATCTGGGCACATAAATTAGAGATGGTAACAGCACCAGCTGCAGAGCGAGACACAATGTGAGAGAACAGTTCCCCTCACTGGCATTGCCCTACTGGTAAAACACAGGGTATAAGGAGAACACAGCCCAGGTCTGAACTACTGCTCCAGCACCATGCTAAAATGACAAGAAAACCTCTTAACTGCTCCGTTCTGTCAGCACTAACTGTATCTTTTGGTGCAAGGCTGTCTAAAAGCCCTTAGTAATAAATCAGAGAGGACAATCCCTCCTTCTCCCCAGCTGAGCCCTTCACTGGGTCTGGCTTGAAGTTGTCAGTTGCTTACAAAGACTCTAATGCTCTCAGGACAGTGCTGTTCTGGGTCACTGACTACAGGAAAGAGCAATCCTTCCACCTGGGTCTTTAAATGGTTCTAAGATTTCAAGCAGATCCATACCTTTCCTGATTTACACAAACGCATGCAAACTAGATCACAAAGTTTTCTGCTGAACGCAATTCCCCCAGTACAGAGGAGGAATCCAGCAAAAGCACATCTGTCGCTTTGCTTGAACAATGACTGTGATACTCTGTAAAAATCATTAACGCCGCTTCTGCAGCCGACCACTGGCAGCTTGAGCTACCATCAACAGATCAGTTCGTTGAAACTGAAGTCATGACCCCACCTAGTGGGGAAATGCAGCTGAATCTGATGGATATTTGATCTGGTGATCTAGTTGAGAGGCGTCCCTGCCCATGACAAGGAAGTTGGATTAGATGATCTCTAAGGTCCCTTCCAGCCTATGCCATTCTATGATCCTATGATATCCCACTCCTCGATGGCTGATGTTAAGGAAGATATCACTTCCCATCCTCTTCCTCACTTGGCCAGGGACAGACCCACAGGTAAGTAAAAGGATGCCTAGTGAAGAGACACCCTTTTTGCTACCAGTTAGATAACCCCCAAAATCAGAAAGCAACACCTCAACAGTCATGGGTTGCAGAAGGAACTTGCCTGCTGCAGTCTAAAGACGACCGGGATTTTCCGCTCTGTGCAGGCCGCGATGAAGTTATCAGGCAGTAACTGGCCAGCTGATAGAAACTGGTCATCTTTGCCTTGGTCAATCAGGATGTCCAGGTGAGAGTCCGGATAGGACTTCACAAGTTGTGTAGCGTCGTATGCCTGCAGGAATAAAAGAGAAACGACATTCACGTACACACGTTCGACTGGGTCAAATTTGCTGACTGCAAGAAAAGAATGGCATCTGTACGGTACTGGCTGATATCCATCAGGACACCAAATTACACTCTGGAAGAGCAAAAAACTGGGGAAATTGCAGGCAGCTGAAAAGTAATACCCACATTTTAAAAAGGGTAAATAGCATGACCTAAGAAATTACCCAACTGGCAGTTTGACATCACTTGTGCACCACATAGAACATCCAGCCCAGGGCTAAATTCATACAGAATCAAAGAACAGCCACAAAACCTGGTACCAATTCACATGCTTGTACAGAAACTAGATCCTGCCAAAATAACTTTGTATCCTGATGTAACTATTGTGGCAGCTAAAGGTCAAAACACCCCCATTATACAATTATGCTCGTAGCAGGCATTTAACCTGAATATCGCCATGATAATTTGACGAAGAAAACTTTATACAACTGAGAAACGAAAACAGTGCACACAGCATAAATTAAAGAGTATTAACATACATGTGTCAAAAAGTAATTATGAATGGGGAACATGTTTCCTGTGGGGTCTTGTACTTGGTACACGCTCAAAAAACCCAACAATCCTTTAAAAATCTAGAGAAGTGCTTAAGGCAGTGGAGAAGACAGATCACCAACAGACACCAAAATGCAAAGTCCTACCACTAAGGCATCAGAGCCATGCTTCCAGGATGCCACCGGATCCAGAAACGGCACTGCAATGGAACTGGGAGCTTGGACTCAGCCAAGGACTGTGGCCACGGTATAAAATGATCCTTGTATATATTTACACGACAATTTTAAGGAGAAATACAAAGATCAGAGGTTGTCTACCTGTGCCAAAGGCAGGTCTAAGTCTATTCCTGATGCCAGCAGTTGATCTACTGGACTGTGTTTGCAGAAGACCTCCAAAGCAAGTTAAAGGGCCAGAAAATGTGTTTGTTTTTTCAAAATAAATTCATTAAGTTAAGTGTAAGCAAGTTTAACTGGCGATATCTAAAGATACAAACTACTCTAGTAACAATTGTGAAAGCAGCTAATGCTCTCCATTTCTGTAACATTTTAATTAGACCTGCAAGTCTTCCTAAGAGACACTTTAATCCAATATACAAGGGATTTAACTGCAGCTTGTGTTTATTTACCAGGAAATCAGAGTACCTGGTCACGACGATCCCTTCTCACTTAATTCTAGAAATGCAGTGCAATGTTTATGCCGAGGTTAAAATACTGAAGGACTGCCGAAATAATGCAGCAACATGCCCAGAAACATTTTTGTATCATAGCCATTCCTCTGTGGCTACTTATATTTCATAATTAGGGCACTGGAGCTAAAACTTAACTTTGTCCGCTTTAACCCTGTTCTACGGGAAAACAATTTCCAGCTATCCAAAGGGCTCCTCTGCTACCTGCCTCCAACAGGCTGCCTCTGCAGATGCCACAAGGCTCATTTTGCCCAGAGAAGTTGTAGATGCCCCATCCTTGGAAGTGTTCAAGGCCAGGTTGGATGAGGCTTTGGGCAACCTGGTGTAGTGGAGGGTTTCCTCACCCATGGCAGGGGGGTTGGAACTAGATGATCTTTGAGGTCCCTTCCAACCCAAACCATTCCATAATTCTATGATTCTATTAGTCTCTGAACAGTTTGTAGCAGTCTCTCTTTTCAGGCTCCTACAAAAAACAGCTGATTTGAGTATTGAAAACTGAGTTTTTAAGAGATGGGCCGCTGCCTAGCTCTCTTTTAAACTGCTTGCTGTGTTCATGCGTTAGAGAAAGTCTCAGACTGCTCGTAATTCCTGTTAGCCTGGATTTCAAGATCTTCATAAAACAGGGAGGAATTTAGTCAATTTGATGAGAGCTTGCTATCACATTACATTTGTTATAAGCACCACCAGGCAACAGGGAGTCATACCCACCAGTAACATACAACGCTGACCCATGCTTAAAGGTGTGCTAAAACAGCAGTACCAGTACCGGAGCGTTATTCCAGGCTCCTGCAGCCATGTATCTACAGGTAACTCATTCACGCATTATTGAAGGGCTGCGGTTGAAACACATACCTCCCATTTGCTTACATCCGATCCCAGATATCCACCAAGGGCTTTCTTCCCCCACTGACACTGAATTGGGTTG